TTATGAGCTTTGGATTGGGCGACAACTTAGTCTGAAGCATTTCCATGTGTGAGATTGTCTAGCTGAGGCAAGACCTTATAAGTCAAATGAAAAGAAATTGGACTCCCGAACAGTAAGTGGTTATATTATTGGTTATGTCTGAAAGATCCAGGGGATATAAATTTTATGATCCCACATTAAAGACAATTTTGAGACTGGGAACTGCTACGTTCTTTGAGGATATTGAGTTTGGGGGGAAGAATAAGATTAAGAACTTCATCTTGGAGGAAGAATCGGTAACAATTTCAGAACCGATTCAAATAGTTACTTTTGATAAAGTAAGTTCGGAACCTCCACAAGGCATTGTTGATGAACCCCTTACTCAAGATGATTTGGTTGTTCATGAAGAACAAACTCAAGATCCTCAAGAACCTGTGCATCATGAGCTAATAACTTTGCAGAGATCCACTAGAGAAAGAAGAAGTGTTATTTCGGATGATTACATGGTATTTCTTCAGGAACATGAGGAAAATAATGATATAATGGAAGATGACCCAGTTAACTTCCGTCAAGCTATACAAGGTTCTAACTCTCAAAAGTGGATTGAAGCAATAAGATAAGTATAAGTCCATGCAAGACAATAAGGTTATTGGGAACTTGTCCCATTACCAGAAGGTATGAAACTCATTTGGCTTCAAGATGAATATTGTTGATGATTGTATGTATCACAAGTTTAAAGGGAGACAAGTTTAGTCTCAATCAGTGCCCAAAGGGAATTTGGAAATTGAGGAAATGCAAAAGATTCCCTATACATCAATTGTAGGGAGTTTGATCTATGCCCAAATATGTACGCATCCAGACATAACATATATAGTTGGGGTTCTAGGCAGATATTTAAGCAATCCAGGAATAGACCATTGAAAAACAGCAAAAAGGGTCATAAGATATTTAAAGAGAACAAAAGATTATATGCTCACATATAGGAGGTCAAACCAGTTGGAGATCGCTGGGTTTTCTGACTCAGATTTTGTAGGATGTCAAGAATTTGTAACATGCTATGAGGCATCAAATCATGGAATATGGTCGAGAAATTTTGTCACGAGGTCGCAAATTGTGAAAGGCATTGAAAGACCACTTAAGTTATATTGTGACAATAAATCACCTGTATTGTTAAGGAAAGAGTACAAAGTGGATAGATTTCCATAGAACACTTAAGGACAAACTCCATGATAACATATCCTCTAACTAAAGGACTTCCGCCCAAGGTCTTTCATGAGCATGTTGCTCACATGGGTGTTTTACAGTTTGAGGAATTTGTGGTTTAGTGGGAGTTAGTCACTTTCATATATTTTATATTCTATGTTTAATTTCATATATGTATACAATGATTTTTGGACATATGGTTATCTATAGATATGCAGTTTTTTCGTTCATTCATTACACTTTGTACATTAAGGATATTATATCGATCTCGATAAGTTAAAATTTGGACCAGTTGAAAATAGACGTGTACAAATCACCTTCACGTAATTTTTCATGCTACACATTTCATGATGAATCCATGTCATTTGGTTATGTTAGGATGAGTAATCATTGTTGGTTTTAATTGCGATGATGCAATGAAAAGCTGGTTTGGTTCTATATCCTGATATGATTAATGGACAGGACTTTTGGAGTATGCTAAAGGAATATAATGGCAATTTTGAGCTCATAAAGTCTAACACATTTGTAAGGTTGTAAGGACATATATATTTGTGACCAGTGGGAGATTGTTGGCAAAATTTGGGTCATGTATATATATGATACATAATTTAAATGTGTTAGGGTCATTATTTATTAAGCCAAATAATAAAGTTATCTGACTAAATTAAAGTTTTTGCTAAAGGCATATGTCATGAAAATAAAATTGTGTAGAGACCATTGAGCAATTTCTAATTTGATGAGGGGCCAAATTGGAAATACTAAAACTTAAGTGATTAACTTAATTCTGGTTATTTTAATGGGTCGTGGTCCCCTTCTGGGAGCACACACACAGAACGTAAGTATCAGTCTCGTTCCTTTCTTTCTATCCCCATCAAAAGAGAAAATCAAGAGGGAAATACAGGTGCTCTTCAGGTGGAAGATCATAAGATCAATATAGTGCTCTACAAAGACATCATCATTATGACTAATTCAGGTACGCTTTCGCATTCAGTTTACAACATGTTTATCAGTATGTGATTATGTTTATGTTTGATCGTTAGAATTAAAATCAAAATTATTATTATTATTGTTTTTCCAACATAGTAATCTCAAATAATTTTGCATGTATCTTTTGTGTCCCATTACAATCAAGAGGAAGAAATTGGATCAACATTAGTTTTTGGTCATGCAAAATTAGATTAATTATTTCAAGATATGGAGTTTTGCAACTTTCTAGAATAAATTCAACTTATTGAAATAAAATGAAATTTTAGAAACAAGTAAAATGACTATGGACATGTAACCAAGAACAAGACAAAATTACTTATTATTGAATATAATAAAGAAAAAGAATTTGTCTTAGAAGTTGTCAAATAAAGTAAACACAAAAAGAGAATTGAATTATTTTTTAAAAGATTTTTAAAAACTTTTTCATAAAATTGAGGATATCTTGTATATTTTTCAAATGGACATAAGTTATCAAATTCAAGGTTTGATTAAAGAATAAAGGATGAAACAATTAACATACAATGGTTTAGAAAATTGAGATTTTCACAAATATTTAAGTCATAATTTAGGTTAGCAACATAAATTAAAGAGATATAAAAAGAAGAAAAAACACAAGATTTTTTATATTAGTTCCTCCTAATAAAGAGTATGTCCAAAATTTAATAAAATAGCTCAAGTTTCACTATCAACTAATTAAAAAAGTTATTATTATTGGATATTCCTTACATAGCACTTTCCAATTTTCCTCATTCATTTTCATAAAAAAATAGTTTTCCTTTTTGACGTCTTTAAAAAATGTCTTTTAATTAAATAAAAAATTGAATTGATATATATCTTCGTATTTAAAATATTAAGTTAAATATTTAGATGATATTTTTAAAATAATATCTATTATGAATTATATTGAATTAAATTATATAGTTACGAAGTGTATATATATATATATATATATATATATATATATATATATATATATATATATATATATATATATATATATATATATATTTGATTGGATGCGGTAATATGAAAAACGTTATTTTGAGAAACTATGCATGATATGTTTGAGAATGGAAGATATGTGTTGATATAGTGTATATAAAATGAAATATTTTGACTCTACTAATAATAAAATAACATAAATAAAGAGATAGAGGGAAGAGAGTTAAATGTGATTTTTATAATTTAAGATGTAGTATATAAAAAAGAATTATATCTTAATATATTATATAAATTTACCTTAATATAATGTATTTATCAATTTAAATACTCTTATGTTAATCACTTGTGAAAATTGTAATTTGATAATTGTAATTTGATAAGTTAAAATTTTTAATCTAATATTTAGTTATCTAGAATTTATTTATATTTATGTGATATAATAATGAGTTTATACAAGTGTAACATAAAATATTTATTTTTTATTTGAATAGTATAATGATGAAATATGTGAAAATGAAAATATATTCAAATCTTATAAAATTAAATGTTTATTTATAATTATTAACTTTTATCAGTTTTTATTCTGATATTTAAATTATAATGATTACATAAATAAAAAAAATATAAATTATTTTGTTAGTTTTTATTTAAAGATATATATATATATATATATATATATTATTTATTGTAAATTTTATTTTGGGCTGTTAGATAGAAATATATATCTGATTATAGTAACTAATTATATGAAATAATTTTTAATATAATCAATTGTTTTTTAGAAATTAATTTTTCTGGTTTTTTTTAAACTAACAAAATTTACATAATTATTTTATACCACAATAACACATTATTAGGATGAATTCAAATTCTCAAAATTGATAAGGAAAAATATTAAACTGTCCCTGTCTATTTTAAGCCCAGTCTTAGCTGAATAAAAAAAGAAGAACAAACACGGTTTAAAGTAAAAAAGATACAATTTTAAAATAAGTTTATAAAACATTGCTAGTATTACTTAAAATGTAATTATTAAAACGATGGCGTGAAAGTTCTTTTGCACTCTTAACATAAAAATCAATTTCTATTTTGGGTAAAACCATTTAGAAAAACATTGAAATAGCGATGTTATTAATTAATTTCTTGATGCCGTTAATTAATCATAAAATAAATAATAACAAATTTTATATTATTAAATGCATTAAGTAAATATTTTGAAATTTGTTCTACGAATATTCTACGGAACGAAGGATCGCTTAGTTACTAATAAAATATACGTAACTTTTACATTCACCAAATACTTTTTAAAATTTGTTCCACGAATATCCCAAAGAACAATCTCTGCAGAGTAGCTTTCAAATGAATTAAGAAAACAGTATAAAGCCATAATGTTTAGTTGTAGATTCATATTCATTATTTTTAACCGCTATTTGCTTGCTATTAGATAAACTGAAGAAAAAAATAATAATAATTAAATAAAAATTAAAAATTATGGTGTGAAAGTTGCTCCTAGGTTATGTTTTGGGAACGCTGAAAGTGAAATTTGGGAAGAAAAAAATGGAAAGCGCTTAAGTTTATAAAATTACTCCTAATAATTATACTTTCTCTTTCCCTATTAAATATACGAAGAGAAAGAGAAAGAGAGAGAAAGAGGGTATCCATCCATCCACGTCCTCTCGCTCGCGTCGTTTGTGTATAAATAGCAGAGAGCGAGCCAATACTTGCTTCCATTTAACCCAGAGCTTGTGCAGTGGTATCACAGTTTCAGTCACTGTTCACAGTAGGGTTTAGAATTATCCCCTTTTTTATCTTCTTCTCTCTTCACCACGTTCTGATATTCTCGTTTTCGGTTATAGAGAGAGAAACACGGCGAAGAGAGGGAGAGATTGATCATGGACGCACACGCGGTGCATTTGGCCTTGGCGGCGCTCGTCGGAGCCTCCGTCGTGGCCGTGTCCGCGTATTACATGCACCGCAAGACGCTTGCGCAGTTGCTGGAGTTCGCGCGCACGGTCGAGCGCGAGGCTGAGGGTGGCGGCGGTTCAGACGGGGAATCACCGCCGGTGCATTTGAAGAAGCGCCGCGGCGCCACGAGGAGACGGGGCAACGGAGCGTACCGGCTCGGCTCGGCGTCGTTGCCTGACGTCACCTTGATCTCCAGCGGGTTCGACGGGGACGAGAAGCGGAACGGAACGGTTCACGTTGAGGGGATTCCGCCGGGGCTGCCTAGGCTGCACACGCTCCGTGAAGGTATGGCTGCGGTGAAACTTTTCGGGTTTAATCGATGCTTATTTGTGATTTTGTGGTTTTTGATGTTTGTTGGGATTGCTTTTTGCGAGATTAGTGAGTTGAGCTGTGATATGATAGTTATTTGGTGTTGGATTTTGGTTGGTCGTGCATATTGTGGAGAACTTTCTAAGTAAGGAGTGTGCGAATCTTTCCTATTTGCGGTGAATTGGGGAAATTGAGTCAATTTGAAATGGATTGGAAGGAATTGATTCCGGTGTTTCTTTGTTGGCAGTGTGTTTTATAATTGATACTAGTTTTTGGTTTGTTTCGGTTCTGTGATATATGACTTACAGAAAAATTTCACATGACAGGAAATGATTATAAATCATCAGTTTGAATTCATGTATAAGTTGATGCGTAAAACAGAATTAGTTGGGAAGAAAATAGGACGAATAAGTCAGGATATTTCTGGACTTAGACGAGTCTCATCATAAGAATTCAGGAATCTGGAGTTTAAGAACCTGAACTTCTTTACCTATTTTCACCTTTTATTGTCAGGAATTTACATTTCGATGAATTTTGTTAGTTTCAGTCCATTTCTTTTGTCTCTTGGAATGTTGGAGTTGACATCGATCAATAGATATGATATGATTTAACGGCTGAACTTATAATTGTTCACTATAAGGTAAGTAAAGTATTAGGTCTAGCGGGTTCCAATGATCAAAACGGAGATCACATAACTTCAGATGGAAGTGAAAGTTAATGTGAGAACAACGTGTGAGGGAAATAAACAGAAGGACTGGAATGACTAAACACTGAAAAAGTTTATCCCCTTTGAATAATTTCTCTTAGTGAATCAGTCTTCTTGGACCCATCTCCCTCTGCTAAACTAGCTAGGAATTCAACTATACAGTATTGGATGATCATTCTTGTGTTTTAGAAAGTTGTGTTCATTTGTTTTCTTCAATTGTTACTGATATATCTTTGTATTGTCCCCATAATTAAGATTACTTTGAATTCATTCCAACTTAATCCCTGGAAAGCTTTTATCGGAAATGTTGCATTATACTATATATCTATCTGATGCCACTGCCTCTACATGTACAGGCATTCATTCATTCCGATTTTTAATATATGGAGAGGTTTTATGGCATATGTTGCATTATGCTTTACATCCTTCTCATGCACTACCTGCATATGTACACGCAAAGTCTGCTTGAAACTGTTCATCTTAATCTCAAAATTTTCCATTACTAAGATATGTTTCTGACAGGAAAATCTGCACAATCTGGTTCCTTCAAGAGAAGCCTATTAAGACCAACATCTCCCAAGTCCCCTGTTGCAAGTGCTAGTGCCTTTGAAAGTGTAGAGGGATCAGATGATGAAGATAACATGACAGAGAAAGATAAATTGGAGTCTGAGTATCTGCACGCAAATGGCAATGTTGTAAGTGTGTCATGCACTTGTTAAATTGATTCTATCGTTCATTACATTCTATATGGAAAAGGAGGTTTACTGTTGACATGCCAAGCAGCTTTCTCTGTTTCTGTCTCCCTACTTTCTAAATGCCTCCTTCCCCTCGACCTCTAACCCTGGCTTGGAATTCATCTAGCCTTACTACTCTTCTTTTATGATTGATTATTGCATGATGCAGTGTTGTATATACTAAATTAAGAAAAATGAATGATCTTCGAGTTTAAGTTGAAATCACTTATATGCAGGGTCCAGAAGGTAAAATCCCATTTGAGACTTTACCTAATGCTAATGGAGAGCAGATGGCAATTGCTCCAAGTATGATCCGTTCTCATAGTGTTTCTGGTGACCTGCATGGTGTGCAGCCTGACCCAATAGCAGCTGACATTCTGAGGAAAGAGCCAGAGCATGAAACTTTTGCAAAATTGAAAATTACTCCTATTGGTATGAACTGTGACATTTCTGATTCTCATTCTCTTGAGTGCAAATAAAATTGCTTTGCATGGTTTCTCTCGGGGATCAAACACTTTTGGGATGAGTATATTTGCATATCTGGAATGTCATGTAGTAAAGTGTAATTGTTATATTTTTTGTTTAGAGGCTCCGTCACCTGATGAAGTTGAAGCCTATGTGGTTCTTCAAGAATGCCTTGAAATAAGAAAAAGATATATTTTTAGAGAAGCCATTGCTCCTTGGGACAAAGAAGTTATATCTGACCCCAGTACACCCAAGCCTAACCCAGATCCATTTTTATACACTCCTGAAGGAAAATCTGATGTATGTGTTTTCCTCATCTTTGAAAACTTGGATCCCCCTATTTTATATGCTGTGATTAAATTACTTGTATTTCTTTTATACTACAGCATTACTTCGAAATGCGGGATGGGGTTATTCATGTATATCCAGATAGAGAAGGTAAGTAAGAAAAGAATTTGTTATTGACAAACTTGGTAATTCTATCACCACTCAAGGTGGGATCTTACGCATGCTTTGCCTATTACTTACAGCAAAAGAAGAGCTTTTTCCTGTTGCTGATGCGACTACATTTTTCACTGATCTTCATCACATACTTCGAGTCATAGCGGCAGGGAATATAAGAACTTTATGCCATCATAGGCTCAATCTTCTAGAACAGGTAAATCTATAATTTATTGAATGAGTAACAAACTGCAGCCTATGCTTGTATTTGAATTCCATACAAGAAGCAATGGTTGTTTGACAGTTTCTGTGGGTTTTCAGAAATTCAATCTTCATTTGATGCTAAATGCGGATAGAGAATTTCTTGCTCAGAAAAGTGCTCCACATCGAGACTTCTATAATGTCAGGAAAGTTGATACTCATGTCCACCATTCAGCATGCATGAATCAGAAACATCTTTTAAGATTCATAAAGTCAAAGCTGAGAAAAGAGCCTGATGAGGTGATAATTAGGATCCTTGTTGCTATGATGTAACATAATTGTAGCAGCCATTTTTTCCATCTCAGATCTTATCATTGAACTGTAATGCAGAAGACATAGATCACAAATTAACTTTTTTTTAAGCATGTAAACATGTAAATTTAGTGAGTATTTAATGTAACAATATATCATTATTATTATAGATATAGTATAATACTACAACCTATTATTGCCTATGAATGGATTAGGAAATGGTACTCATATGTTTGAAATGATTGGCTTATTGTCATCACTTACTGCAGTATATATCATGATGCAATATATATTTTTTTTTTACTTATTGTATATGTAAATTATATTTTATGAAGCTGACATGCACTGCATACTCTCATTATGTATACTCTAAACTTTCTCAGGTTGTAATATTTCGAGATGGGACATATCTAACCTTGAAAGAGGTTTTCGAGAGTTTGGACTTAACTGGGTAATGAGCTTTTGTAGCTATTATAATTATAATTGGACTTCTGTATGTTTCAGGGTTTAATCTTGTTTTGATCTCGTTTTAACAGATATGATCTCAATGTTGACCTTTTGGACGTTCATGCAGACAAGAGCACTTTTCATCGCTTTGATAAGTTCAATCTTAAATACAATCCTTGTGGTCAAAGTAGGCTCAGGGAGATATTTCTAAAGCAGGATAATCTCATTCAAGGTAACATATTTTGGGTGTAATGATCGTATGACACCTATGTTTTTACTTGTAATCACATTCAAACTGGAATAAATATCCTATGGCTATGTGCAGTCTTTTTGCTTTATAGAATCTAGTTCAAAGTTTTGAGTGAGTCCCTGAACACACCCAAAGCATTCATATATTGTATGTAGGGAGGTTTCTGCACAAGCCAAGTGGTTCAATATACACTGGTTTGGGCATTGTGATTAAGTGCAGAAGTTTTGTTGGTGTAGTAAGGTATTTTTGCATACAAGCTGAATTTGGAGGGGTTTCTGGATGCCTATATCAATATTGTGAAATCGTGGGTTGCACTTTTTTAGACAATGCTATATGCTCTTTTGGTGGCTGTACATTTATTGATATAGGCACTCGAAAAAAATTTGAACACATGGTGGGATGGTCTCTAGTTCAATGATTTTCTTCAATCTAAGGAATCTATTTTATTGATCATTGTCTACACAATCTTCTATTGTCATTGGCATTATTTTGATTATTGAATACAGAAGTTTGGAATTTAAGACAACTTATACCTGCAATGTTAATAAAAAAGCAATTGCTAATTTCACCTGTGGGTTAATGAAGATGGAAAAGATTTAAAATGAATTACTTCAGATCATTATCAGTTTTTTAGTGTTTATGATTTGTTAGTTGCCTTCAATATCTAAGCATCTTTACTTGTATTGACTAGGTCGTTTTCTTGGTGAGGTGACTAAGCAAGTGTTTTCGGATCTTGCTGCCAGTAAATATCAGGTGCTTTCCTGATTCCTTGTATATTCCTGTATATACTCATATATACATCTTCTTTCTATAATGTACCGTTTGATTGTTGGAATTCAATATCTTACTCTAAATAAGCAATACTGTCCCAAATTTTTTTACGAAATGTTGGCTGTAAAACAGCCCAACATCCTATGTTGGAATAAGACTATAATAGAATATAATAGCTAAATAACACAATGCAACAAAGTCATATTGAAAACTTTGATGACCAAATTTTAAAACCTAATTCAATTAGCAATGTTGTATTTTAAATCTGCATCATTTCCCTCAAATGGGAAGATCTTTCATTCAGAGAGTCAAAAGATGGAAAGATCCAATAGGGCATAAACTGACTAATGAAGGAAAACATCTTCCTCTGTCAGTATAGCATTTGCAGTGGGGTAGGTCCTATGCATCCAAGGTATTAATAACGTAAAGGAGTGGGTGAGTTGTTACTAGTAATCCAGAATTTCATTGAATGATTGAGGGGCACTAGCAACTTTGGGAACTTGAGAAGCTTAGAGATTTGAAACAAACGGAGATAACAATGGCAGCTGAAATTGGCTGCCAGTGTAAGTTCTTAGATCCTCCACATTACAAATAGGACATATATTAATCAGCAGACAAGTGTTGTAACAGTTCCAATATGGGTGATTATTCTATATTGGGTTTGACTGCATTAGCCCTGGATGTTGGGTGAAGATTTGCACGATTGCTCACCATAACATAAACAATGACATTTAGACGAATCCCTACACTGCACATATACTTTATGTTTTTCAATTCCCACTACCCAATGGTTCAATAATGTTTATATGTATGAGACCCTTTGTTGGCCAATGTGTTTGGATTTGTTGACAATCATTGACCATTTTTAACTGTAGTTTTTATATGCTTATTTCCATCTAGATGTCTGTTAACTTATCTTTCTGTGCCTAATTATTCACAGATGGCTGAATATAGAATATCAATATATGGTCGGAAGCAAAGTGAGTGGGACCAATTAGCTAGTTGGATAGTTAATAATGATTTGTACAGTGAGAATGTTGTTTGGTTGATTCAGGTAAGCTTTATTTATTTGTCTAGAACACAGATTGGTTTAATTTTCATATTATATGGTAATGATTTATTATTTCTCTAGTTTTGCTGTGGAAATTAGTTTACTCACAGTTGTCAATTTAACATTTTTACCATCATATTATAAGAAGCTGAGCAATGTTCTTCATGTACAAATTATTGTCTTTGGAGTGCCAAATGGCTAGTAGAATTTGGGGTAGCTTTCCCTGCTTCCCATTTATGGCTTAATTTGCTGGGCTTTTGTAGTGGTAGCAATTAATATTAGTTTTTATAAATGTCTTGCAGCTTCCGCGGTTGTACAATGTGTACAAAGAAATGGGAATTGTTACATCATTCCAGAACATGCTTGACAATATTTTTATTCCCCTTTTTGAGGTTACTGTCGACCCAGATTCACATCCTCAACTGCATGTTTTCTTGAAACAGGTGTGTTGCTCATCTACATTAACTTTTGAGTAAACACAATTTTGAAGATCATTGGTCTTCATAAATATTTCAGAAAGGTCCTTCATTCATTCTTTAGATCAAGTTTTCCTTGAAAGGAACCAATTTGATATTTTGATGTATTCATTATTGGTGGCCCAATCTGATGACACTAGTTTTGGAGGAATGAAATTGGCTTTAACTCTACTTTAAAAATTGCAGAATTTATGCTGATTTAGTTAGTAACTGGCGTTGGCTTCTTGCAGAAGTTGATTTTGCTGTATAGAATGCTTGGTTCAACTTAAACCTAGAGAAATAGTTGCTTGGTTCTCAAAAGCTCTCACAAAGCTCAAAGAAATAAGTGATTATTTCTCTAAAAATAAGCTGATGAACCAAACATGTGCTTGTTCCAGTACATGGTATTAATTCTCTTGGCTTCTTTTAGGTTGTTGGGTTGGATTTGGTGGATGATGAAAGCAAACCTGAAAGACGGCCAACAAAACACATGCCTACACCTGATCAATGGACTAATGTGTTCAATCCAGCATTTTCATATTATGTCTATTACTGTTATGCAAATCTTTACACCTTAAACAAGGTATGCAACTTATGTTCAGAATATGTATCAGTTTGGGTGCATAGCTCTTCAATCTTTCTAGACAAAAGCAAGTTTCTTTTAATTAAAAACGGAACAAAATATGGATGGTTCTCTTCTTAATCTCTAATAAATATACAACATAAGCTATGTTGCATATTTGTAAAGGTGTATGTATATGGGTAGGATTAAGATATAATTAAATTCAAAATCTACTAAATTGAAATAGGTTGGTCTCATCCTCTTTTAAAAAGCTTTGTGGCCACTTCAAACCACACAAATCCAGTTGAGATTGGTTTGGTTCGAGTTTTCAGGTTAACAGATAAAAAGTTGTCTTCACATTATCTTCTTTTTTATAGAACATTTTTTATATTACTAACTAAAAAGTTGTCTATTTCTTAATAGTTTTGATCAATAGTTTAAATAATTTCATGTGATGTTCTTAGATGTAATTAGTATGTATCTCATACTACAATTTAAAGTACCTACCTCTATCCTGGGTATGGTAAATGAGTTGGAATGTAGACATGGCCAAATAAACTTGATCACAAAAAATAAGGTCAAAGCGAATGAAAACTATAAATGTAGATGAGAGATCTATAATTAAAGTTTTGTATAATTTCATTGTTTGAAAGAAAAGGTTAATTGGGCAAATAGGTTAGTTTGGGTTTAGAAATAAATTGAAGATTTGAATTGATCAATTGATTTGGTTTAGGTTTGACGTAAAAACAATTAACCAAGCTACTTTTGACCAATTTAATTAATTTGTTTTGCATTATGTAGCTAATCAGGTCAATTCGATCCAATAATACTGACACTATATATTTCTCAAATAATATGAATTACACCAGTTGCTCTGTTTTGTTTCTTCATATAATCTCATTTTTAAAGTTGCTGTAGATTACCTTGAATATGTATTCCAAGAATTTTGTGCAACTTCTCCATGATATGTATTTACATTTTTTGGTTTTTTTACACAACAAAGTTAACCTAATACAAGTATTTCCCAGCTTCGTGAATCAAAGGGAATGACAACAATCAAATTCCGTCCACATTCTGGAGAGGTATATATTTGAAAATATTTTGTCTATTTCATAAATGTTTTGAGGAGATCTAATGCTTCATAATGTCTTTAGGCTGGTGATATTGACCATCTTGCAGCAACCTTTCTCACGGCTCACAACATTGCACATGGAATCAATTTGAAAAAATCTCCTGTGCTTCAATATTTATATTATTTAGCCCAGGTGTGATCCTATTTTAAAATTGATTACTTGGTTTTGATATTTGCAGCTGCTAATTTTAGTTGAATATTTTTTGTTAGATTGGGCTGGCAATGTCTCCTTTGAGCAATAACTCCCTATTCTTGGACTACCATCGAAATCCTTTTCCCATGTTCTTCTTACGGGGTCTGAATGTGTCACTTTCTACTGATGATCCTCTCCAAATTCACTTAACCAAGGAACCATTGGTTGAAGAATATAGTATTGCTGCTTCTGTAAGCTCTTTCTCTCATTCTCTCTCTGCACAGCATATAAACAGACAATGCTTACAGCAGGATATAATACTTACAGGTGTGGAAGTTGAGCTCATGTGATTTATGTGAGATAGCCCGGAATTCAGTATATCAATCTGGTTTCTCACATGCTTTAAAGGTACGCTTATCTGAATGATCGTGAATAAAATTCTCTACACCCTTAAAGGCATATTTTTTTATTCTTAGCCTCACATATTTTCAAGAAAACCCCTTATGATGATCTGTACTCCATTATTTTTCAGTATTAATTAGTTTCTATTTTTTATTCATATAATTTAGACACATGTTTTGTTGAAAATATAGATACATTCTACAACCTCATGTAAATTATTTATTTAAATCCAGGGTAGAATGTTGATCAGTGAGCACCCTACGTAGGGTTTTAATGGGTTGGGTTAGGTTTCATCTAAACTTGTTAACCAATCCAATGAAAATAATTTTTGGTTGGATTATCATTTATCTACCAAATCCAAATTGAACCAATCAGATCAATAGTAGGTTGGGTTGGACATTAGATTTTGATTAAATAATGTGTTTGCACAAAATAAACATATTCTGATATGTTCACAAGTCTCATATTATTTAGGATTTAAGACTAATAATAATCTTTAAAATACTATTTTTCCTAAATTTATTGAGACACTTATTAAGGATAAAATTGTAAAATTGTGACAACATGGAACTCGAATTCCAAAGTGTACAATATCTCATACGTGGTTATTAATCTTAACGACATTATCATAGTGGACTTGATATTAGAACATTGATGCTTTTTGTGGGAAAAATAAACCATTAGTACTTGATTGGAGCTTGTTTTAGTATGTCATAGAGTTTCACATTGTTTAAGAGTTAAAATTAAGGTAGTCTATAAACTTCCTTTCTTTAATCCACCAACTTGTTCTTTAAGGGACAAAATTGTGACTAGATTCTAAAATAAACAATGTCTCAGAAACGGTGATTAATCCTAGTGCTACTATCATATCCAACTTGTGATTTTGGAACACAAGGAATATGCTTTATAGTAAGGAGAATTGGGCAAGTAAAAAAAGAAAAATAAGCCCTAGATGGAAAGGAAAGCAATGAGGTTGAGACTTGATTTGTGTAAATGTTGTTTAATGTGTATGATTTTTCTCAATCTTTATTTTTTAAAAAACATAATAATTAAAGTTAATAATATATTGTATTGATGGATTGGGTTGGGTTCATAGGTTCAACACCAAAACCCAAAATCCTACTCAGAACAATGAATTTGATTGTGTTGCATTGAATTTGGGTTTATTTTACCCTTACGCATGAATAACCCCAACAATATTGGCTGCCAGATATTTTGAATGAAAATAGTTATTTTTTTATGGGGAAAACACCAATTTAATCACTTTGGCCACAAACTTAAACCATTTTGTATGTCTCTGTAAAATTTTCTACTAAACATAATGGACATTGCTGTGATCAAATCATGTCACCATTTGTTTATCTAATTTCTTCATGGGAATAATTTTATTTATAATCTGCGAACATATATTGTATGCTCAAATCTGGAGTGCTTTGGATATAATTTTCTTCTTTTCTTAAAAAGTGTCAAGAATTAGAGTGCATGTTTTAGAAAGCGGAGGGATTGAATTACATATTGTTTGAAGTTGAAGAGGGTTAACAGGACTTCTTTTCTGATAGAACTTTGAGAGAATATAGCACCACAAGAGCTAATTGTTGTAGTTGGAGCCTAAGGCCTTATAAACCGTTCATTAGAATCCTTACTTCTAGTTTGGGACTCAAGGTATATCCTTGCAATTAAATCCGAACATCATGCTCTGTTTGGTTGACTGGCCATTTTGACTTGTCCTTGCCTAAAAACAATGTGGGTGTCATCACATGGGCCCCCTTTTTTTAGCTTGATAAACAAAATGGGAAAGCTTTATACAATGATACAAATTAATAAGAACTTAGGAAGAATCACACCACAAAAATAGGTTGTTGTAGTTGGAGAACCCAAGACCTTATAAATCCCATAATAAAAATCTCAAACTTTTAGTGTTGGATTCAAAACCCCATATCTTGCAATTGAAAGCTAGCATTCTCATTTATATTAGGAAAATAACATGATAGTGTCAGAACCAAATTGGGTTATTACATAAATCAATCATTCATATACTTCCTTTAAGCGTGTTAGGATAATAAGAAATAGCGTAATGTTGATTGAGGAACAACATGGTTATACATACAAATACATACGTTGTACTATAAATTAGTGTTTTATAACTGATATATCTTGTTTCAGTCACATTGGATTGGTAAGGAGTACTACAAGAGAGGGCCAAATGGAAATGATATTCAGAGAACAAATGTTCCTCACATTCGGTTGGAATTCCGTGATACGGTATGAACTTATTTATGGTTATCTTATTTATATATGGCTGTTAATCTTTCACTTTTTAATTTAAAAATTACTCTAATTCTTTTTATGTATTCTTGAACTAGACTATATTAGAACAAATTCAGGTTGTTAAGAATGGGATATAAATATTAATTACTTTTTATTGTGTTAATTACTTGAAGGAGATTATCCTGCATCTATTTTTAATTTTCTATCTCTGATTTCTCTACATGGCTCTTAGTTCTTTTTAACAAGACCTTTTGCAAGTCTAAAATAATTTGTTTCCTACAATTTTCTCTATATTGTGTTTTAATCCTTGAAATTTTTTAAATTGCTTGGCCTGAAAAAATATTGTAATTATTTTTTCCTTGGATATTGGTCCTTGTAGTTTCATAGTACTATTTAAGGTTTTGCTCTCTCATGGCTCATTACCTGCACAAGTATGTGGCCAATATTTATTGGAAAATGTGGACTAGTTATGTTTAATAGAAATTTTAAAGAATAAAATCGATAAGCATGGTGTTGATATACTCTTCTATAGGGACAAAAAAGGAGTGAAAACAAAGCACCAAATTGTTAGGAAAAAAGTATATTTCAAAAGATAAATGTTTTTCCTGAATATGTCTGTTGAAGGAGAATCACACGGTACGAGTGCTGTTTTACAGATTTGGAAGGAGGAGATGCAACAGGTTTATCTGGGCAAAGCAATCATTCCTGAAGAAGTTGAGAAATAAGACGCCAGGCATCCTGTCATACATGGGCAATTGAGGTTTTAATTATGTTGTATTTCCTTTTTGTTGTTCTTTTGTAGTGTGCTTGGTTTAGTTTCTTGTTTACGTATTGGAATTTTGCAATTCCTGACTTGTTCCCAAGTTAACTTTTTATGTGCTCGTTTGTGGTATAGAGTAATCAACTCAAACCCAAGGTTGCATCAGAGATATACCAAGGCCGAAGACATTATAATACTGGTCGAATGATACGCGAACCAGATACATAATATATAGAGAATCAACAAGATGGCTGAGCTTGAACATGGAGCAAGGTTTTTACAGCTACAAGTGGACGGACCCGGGGAAGTATTTTCCTTGTATGATTGTGGGTTAGGGTTAATATATGATTAGGGTTAGTAATAAATGCATGCTTCAAGCAAAATGATGCCTGGTGGTGTCAGAATGTAAGCTATATTATAATGAGCCTTGGAAGGGGGGATATTCATCTCCCAAAATTTTGATTCGCAGTGTTTACCCATATATAGTGCACTCCACTCCAAACTTGAAAGACGGCTGCCCTATTCCTTTTATCGTAATATATAATTAATTATATACAATTGCCATGGCAGATCTACATTTAATTTAAGGGTCGTGCTCAGCAAGCAAAATTAAAATCCATGATTGTGCTTGAGTTTTTCATATGTGTATATATATAGTATTTTGTCTTGGTCGAATTCGTCGTGGTTCTAATCTACGAGTGAGTTTGAGGTTTTTTGGTTTAAATCTTTTGAAAGAGTTGGTAAGTCCTAGATAAGAGTTCCTTTTGATAACACCAAGGGTTGGTATGCTTGTATATGGATACTGGAAAATTGAAAAACTACAGAAGTTGATAAAAAAAAAATTAGTGAATTTTTTGATGGAGCATTCATATTTTTTCTTACGCGGTTCTGGATGACGTTCTGAGCTGGTGCCGAATTGAAGAGAAAGTAAGGGAAGCAGAATTCACCCAAGATACTTTTTCGATTCTTAAGCTAAAATCTTGAATATAAGTATAAGAATAATAGAATGCATATGTTAATGCAATCTCTCGTGTATATTTAGATAACAAATTGGATATATTTAGATCACGGTCGAACAAATATAAACTTCAATTGGCATTAATATCTCTTTCTTAGGTTGACTATTTCTGACTGGGTGGATATATATAAGCCGTCCTCATTCAGAATCTGCTTAATATTAATTGATCAATTAATATTTTTGTAAGATGAACTGGTTTTAATAAATTAAAATTGAAGAGTATTATTAATTGATGAATTAATAATTTGTTTAAAAATGAATAGATTTGAATGTGAAAATTGAAAATAAGCATATGCTTGGTTTCTCATTGTATAATTTTAGGTTTGACAAACGTAGTTCGGAATTACTGGTATAGAAGAAACTTGGGACTATTATTTTTAATATTTATATCTTTGAGTCAAGTTTTTACGTCTTTATTTTTCCAGTATTCATATTTGAATGATCTTTGTTTATTCCTATGTTCTCTTTTCTTTTTAATAGAAACATTTGCTTTGATTTGTTTTATTTGTAATATTTTATTCGATTCGTCTTTTGGTGAGACTAACATCTTAAATAGAGAAATTAGACTCGTTAAAATGGGTGTTACCATAGAAGAGAGTCATGATGACTCTATTCATAATCATGCTTTAGAAGGTGTGATAAGTTTGGTTGGATTAGTCATCATAGACACGTCTCTTGTTATAGAAATGAACCATCTCTCATTTTAGATAACCCTTGTAAGAGAAAGCTTTTGATAAAGAGTAAAAATGTTAAAGCAACAGATTGTGCTAAGCAAACAAGATTGAATATCACAAGGATAAATAGCAAAGATAAGTTTCTTGTTATACTAATTTTGAATATGAATTCTTTTTTAAAGAGTTGGATATTTGTTGTATTTAAACAAAACACTCTATGTGTTATCCCTTGATGTTTTTTGCAATGGGTGGTACATGATCAATTTATAGACCTTTGGACATGATCTCTTAACTACATGTATTTAATACAACCACTACCTCTCAACTACATACATTCAATATAACCACTACCTCTTAACTACATACATTCAATATAACCACTACCTCTCAACCATTATCTCTATAACTACTACCTCTCAACTACATGCATTTAATGTTTACCTAACAAAATCCCCCCATAAACTTAAATGCTTTTCATGTCCTTCATTCCAAGCGTCTTCTTGCTGTTCTCGAATAGAGTGGTTGACAGTAGCTTCGTGAATATATCTGCAGCTTGTACTCGGGTTCCGACGTGCTCTAACTCCACATTTCCTTCTTTCACTTGTTCTCGGATGAAGTGAAACCGAACATCAATATGCTTGCTTCTCTCATGATTGACCGGGTTCTTTGCCAATTCAATGGCTTATTTGTTATCAACTCGAATCACAATCCCTCTTTCTTGCTTCAACTCCAGCTTGCTTAGAAGGTTTCTAAGCCAAACTGCATGACAGACACTCCAAGATGCTACAACGTATTCGGCTTCGCAAGTGGACAACGTTACAATGGGTTGTTTTTCTGAAATCCAGGTGAACGTTGTGTTTCCCGTGAAGAATACATATCCAGACGTGCTTTTTCGATCATCAACATCTCCACACCAGTCACTATCCGAGTAACCTACTAGTCCATAATCATCCGTCCTAGTATACATTAAGCCAAGTGACACTGCTCCTCTCACATACCTTAGAATTATCTTTAGTGCCTTCCAATGAGTATACCTTGGCTCCTCCATATACCAACTTGTTATTCCAACACTTAGCGTTAAATCTAGTCTGGTATTTGTAAGATACCTAAGACTTCCAATCAAACTTCGGTATTTGCTCGCATAAACTCGGTCTCCATCTGCATACTTAGAAAGTTTTGTACCAGGTTCCATAAGGGTGAAAACCGGGTTGCAATTTGTCATTTTAAACTTCTTCAAGACCTCCTCAACATACCTTTCCTGCGACACAAAGATGTCATCCTTTCCCTGAACAACTTCTAAGCCAAGAAAATACTTCATAAGACCTAAGTCAGTCATCTCAAACTCCTTCTTCATCACTTCTTTAAACTCTTCAATCAGCTCAACATTATTCCCCATGAAGATAAGGTCATCAACATATAGGGTAACAAACATCACATCTTCTCCTTTTTTCTTTATGTATAGAGCATGTTCATAAGGGCATTGCTCATATCCATTCCTTTTGAAGTAAGTGTCAATTCTTTTCTTCCATGCTCATGGAACTTGTTTCAAGCCATAAAGTGTCTTCTTCAATCTCAACACTTTCTTCCCTTCACCTCTTCGTATGTATCTGAGTGGTTGTTCAACATATACTTCCTCCGCCAAGACTCCATTCAAAAATGCTGACTTCACGTCCATCTGTGTTGAGTTGCTAAGGAAATCAACAGTCTAATTGTTTCCATTCTCGTCACTGGGGCGAACACTTCGTCATAATCTATTCCTTCTTTCTGTTTGTACCCCTTCACTACGAGTGGAGTTCTATATCGCTCAACTTCTTCTTCAGCATTTGTCTTCTTCTTGTATACCCATTTTATGCCGATAGGTCGTGCTCCTTTGGGCAAATCAGTCAGCTCCCACGTGTTGTTGCATTCTATTGCTCCGATCTCCTCGTCCATTTCCTTTTGGGACCTTTTCTCCTACACGACCTTTTCAAAACTTAAGTATTCTGAATCTGCTAAGAAACATACAACATGCACTTTGTTAGTGGAGTTGTATATATCTTGTAAACTTCGCGCTCTGGGTTGTAGAGGTTCATCTTCTTCATCAGAAGTCTCATGATCTCTCACAGTATGTGATGTATCAACTTCTGAGCTTCTTCTTCCTATGGACTCATTCTCCGGTTTGTTCCAACTCCACTCGCTCTCTTCATCAATTTGAACATCTCGACTCATAATGACCTTCTTAGTTATTGGGTTAAACAACCTGTACACCGTGGTTTTTTCATCATACCCAATAAACAAGTACTTTTTGCTTCTATCTTCGAGCTTGGTCCTCTATTGAGCTGAAACATGACCATAAGCTATGCTGCCGAACACTTTAAGGTGAGACACACTCGACTTTCTTCCACTCCAGAATTTTTGCGGTGTCTTCTCATTTAGCTTAGCATGTGGACATCTATTTTGCACATAGATGACACATTGCACTGCTTCTGCCCATAATTCCTTTGGCACGTTCTTGCTTCTCAACATTGTTCGAACCATGTCAAGAATGGTTCGATTCTTCCTCTCGGTAACTCCATTTTGTTGAGGTGAGTATGGTGCTGTCAGAAATCTCCTTATCCCTTGCTCCTCATAATACTTCATGAGTTCGGATGAAATGAACTCGCCTCCTCAATCAGACCTGACAAATTTGATAGACATATCAGTCTCTTTTTCAACCATTGCTTTAAATCTCTTGAACACCTCAAATACCTCAGATTTCTCCTTCAAAAAATATACTCAGGTTTTTCTTGAAAAATCATCTATAAAAGAAATGAAATACCTTTCTCCACTTAAAGACTCTGGGGTAATCGGTCCACAAAGATTTGTGTAAATCAATCCGAGTTGTTCCTTTGCACGGTACTCGACATTCCTCAGAAATGAGGTCCTCGGATGCTTCCCTAGCACACACTCTTCACAAAATTTCTTTTCAAATTCCATAGACGGGAGTCCTCGCACCATCTCTTTCTTTACCAACTCAGTTAGCCCACCAAAATGCAAGTGGCCAAACCGAAAGTGTCACATCATTGTTTCATCCTTCACGTCAAGTTTCAAGTACCTCTCTTGGACTATCTTCAAGTCTAGCTTGTACATTCTGTTCTTCTTCATTTCTACTCGGGTAATCAAACGATCCGACTTGTCCTTCAAGTATAGTACTTGGTCTTTCATTAGAACCGAGTAGCCTTTCTCCATCAACTGACTCATGCTTAATATGTTGTTTTTGAGATTGGGTACATAGTACACGTCTCTAATTTCTCC